TATTGTTATAAAATGAAGTTGCATTTTTAATTGTCAATATATTCTCTTCTTTTATTTTACATATAAATTTATTGTTAAAAAAATCTCTTCTACTATTGTTAATTAATTCCTTATTTATTACTTTTTTTTATCAAGATCTTTTCTTTTTATGTTTTTAAATTTTAAATTTTTATATCGTTTCATATTTTTAAATGAGAGTACGGTCAAACAATCATAATAATTTACCTAAGTTACACTCAACATATATTTATTGATACCTGGGTATCCAAAATCCTAATTCAATTTTGTCTTTCAACGTTACCACATTTTTGGGTGTTACGACTCTCAAAATACATTTAGTTCTTCCTTTAAAATGGAGATGAAAAATTATGGGACAAGATTTCTATATCAAATTTATATAAATCTTTCTACTGATTTTTTTAATCTATATTGTTAAGGGTACACATCTTATCAGACTTCAAATGCATAATTTTTTAGAGGTACAGAAATCTCCTATGATATGATCCTTCATATAGCCCAACAACAAAGAAAGAAATGTACCTAATGTAATGGAGCTTTGACATGAGAAGAAAATCATATAAGTGAACCCAAAGAGGACAACAGAAACTTAACTGGGCTTCAACGTATTATTCTTTATGGATTGGGCCACTGCTTGCTTTAGATGCATTTCATCCTTCATCCTTTTGGTAAGGCTGTATGACTAATATCTCTAAGCTTGTCTTTGTTGTTGACAATGAACCATGATAAGAAATCTTGTACATTTTTTTTTTTTTTTTTGTAATTGGTCCTTATTTTTTAAATAAAAAAATAGTATATGTTTCCTAAATTTTCCAAAAATTATCAGGATAAAAATAGATTTGACATTCTTAAATTGTCATACCCCTTTTTAATATTTTACTTTTGTTACCCTTATTTGTCTGTGAATTTTATTAGAACATGACACTGTCACTTTTGTTCTCAAAAAATGAGAGAAATTAATCCCTTTTCTTAATTTAACACTGTCACTTTCGAGTACGGGGGATGTGAACCATATATATAACGAAAAAAACTATAGTGCTACCGTACTACCTGCGACGGATCAATGAATATGTGACACGTCAGCGACATTTTGCAAAAGAGAGAAAATAAAAAAAAACGAGAGAGAATAAAATAGCAATTTTAGTACTTTACATGATGTATTTCTGAGATTACATAGTATAAAATACCCCGTCGCATCTAATTTTCATACCTCTGTTATACTGAAAGTTTGCTTATATATAACGAGTCATTGTCTATAAAAAAATAAAAATAAAAACATTTTATATGTTTAACATTTCTCAAATAACAATTTCAAGAGTTTTTGACCGTAATAGTTTAATTTTTAAAATGTTTGACCAGATTAAGCTCTTAATCAAATTTATTATCCGATTAATGCAGAAAAACGTGGCACCTGACTTGTCGTGTTTAAATGTGGTAGTATGCCTGATGCGTATCACAACAATATGTCCTTGATAAGAGACGTGGTACTTGATATGCCACGTCTAAACATGGTAGTCTACCAGAAGCGTTTAGTGTGACTTCGTCATGTGACATGTGAAGTGTGACTTCGTCGTGTGGCATATGAAATCGTATTTATGTTTGTCGCTACACTAAATGTGGTAGTGTGACTACCACATTTAGATGTGGCATGTCAGATGTCATGTCTTTTGTCAACACTAAACGTGTCAGGCATACTATCACATTTAGATGTGACATGTCAGGTGTCACGTCTCTCTACATTAATCTGATAATAAATTTAACCAAAAACTTAATCGGCTCAAACTTTTTGAAAAACGAATTACTACGGTCAAAAAGTCCAATTTCAATATGTATTATTTACGTGTCTCTGCCAAATAAAATATTGAGTTCTAGTATAAAATAAATTCCACATGAATAAAATAACTCTTATTTATTTCATCGAAGATAAAGTAACGGACTATCATCACTCGTGCTAAATTCAAATGCCTAACTTTCAATTTTCAAAGCACAAGGGTACTATGGTGAATATCTGCAGATGTGGCTCCATGGTTTTCCCCATGTATAAGACTCAGAATTCTTCTAGTTCCATCCGAGGATTAACCTAGTAATAGATGATGTTATTATTGCAAGTGCCTATATATATTTTGGTTACAAGTGTCTATATTTGGTTTGTATAATGCAAACACTTTGTTTTAGGTTTATTTAACATTGTGAATCATGGACTTTGGTGTGTTAAATTGCAGCAGATGCTTATGATCTTATATAGATTGTACAATACTTGATTCTTGTGGAAGTTCATTTTAATTTGCCGTGTCATTCAACTAAACAATTGCTTAGAGCTTTAAATCAAGCTCACTTTTTGTTTCCCAGTACTCACTTTCAGGGAATGGTTTTTAATGATATTCTAATAAATGGTTTGCAGGTTTCGGAATTGGGAAGCATTGGATGTGCTTAGGAAGAAACATGATGCACAAGGTGAAGAAATGCTCCCTGGTTGTAGTATTGGTCAACCACACACCTACTTTATTGAACAGGTTGAAATGGTGATACTTGTGGTCAAAATATTCAAAAGAACCAAATCGATCCATAACCAAATCTCCACATTTTAAAAATCGGTTATTTTTAAAAACCAGTTTCATATGAAACTGCATTTTATTTTATAAACTGGTTATTTACCAAACCATAAAAATAATTGGTTATCCATGGTTATCCATAACTAAACTATTTTACAATTAAAGAACAAATAAGTATTATCTTTTATCCTTAACATTAAAATGTAAAAATTACATAAATATGAATCATTTTTAAATATGACATTATTAGAAAAATCTCAAAAACTAATGAAATTTATCGAAGAAAAATATTTCGTCGAAAATTTTGACAAAAATCATATTACGTAAAAAATAGAGACGAAAAAAATTTCGTCGAAACTAGAGACCTAACAAGATTTTGTCATAATCACTGATTTTTTGAGGGACAAAATATTTCAGTCAAAATTCTTGATAGAATCTAAATTCCGTCGAAACTTTTGACAGAAACAATTCTGTCAAACTTTTCAACGAAAAATAATTCTGTATAAATTTTTGACAAAACACATTTTCATATAAAAAATTGACAGAAAATAATTTCGTCAAATTTTTTTACGAAAAATATTTTCGTCCAAATTTTCGACGAAAAATATTTCCAACAAAACACATTTACAGCGAAAATTGTGACCAAATTTTTGACGGAAAATATTTAAGAAATTTTTTTTTATGAAAAATATTTCTATAAAAAATTCTGACGGAAATTTTTTTTGTCAAAGTTCTTTACGGAATCTAAATTCCCTCCAATCATTTCCCTCAAATTTTTTGACGAAAAACATTTTTGTCAGAAAATTTTATCCAAATATTGTTCGTCATAAAATTTTTACAAAAATTTTTCATAGAAATGTGTTCCATTGAAAATTTTGATGGAAATGTTTTTTATCAAAAAACTTGACGGAAATTTTTTTGGTCGAAAATTTTCGATGGAAATGTGTGTCGTTAAAAATTTCGACGGAAATATTTTTGTCAAAAAGTTTAACGAAAATGTTTCCGTCGAAAACTTTCGACGGAATTTGAATTCCGTAAAGAATTTTGATGAGATATTTTTCCGTCAAAAGTTTTCGAAGGAAATGTGTTTCGTGGAAAATTTTGATTTTTTCGTCAAAAATTTCGATGAATATGTTTTTTTGTGAAATATTTTGAGGGAAATGTTTTGACAAAATTTATATTCCGTAACAAAATTTGACAAAAAAAAAATTTCGTCAATTTTTTTTACAGATATGTTTTTTGTCACAAATTTTGATGAAAATGTTTTCCGTAAAAACAACGTGAATCATTTCTATAAGAATCATTTCGTCCTAAGAGTTCCAAAACAATGAAGATTCTTGCAAGAAATAGTTGGTCAACTACCTATAACCAGGAGAAAAATAGACTACTTATAAAAATAGCACAATCCATGAAAAATCGATTTTGAATTTGTTAAAAAATCGGTTTTGAACTTGATAACCGGTTTTAATTCAAAACCGGCTATAAACCACAAACCGGTTTTAAACTGGTTTGGACAAATTAAAAACCGGTTTTTTTATAAAAAAAAGTGGTCCGATTTAAAATCCAAATCGTTTAAAACTGGTTTGGTTTGGTTTGATTTTTGACAATAACCAAACCAAGCCGCTCGATGCCCACCCTACTTGTGCTCTAAAAAAAGAAATTTGGTAAATGGCAATAGTGAGTCAAGTTAATCGCTTACCATAAGGATTACTCAGACTTTCTTTGACAAGTCACATTCCATCACTACTGGACAAAATTGTTTATTATGAATAGGTTGGAAATTTATCATAGATTGGGAATTTGAATCATTTCGCCAAGTAGGTAGTGAATAAGGATTGCTGAGTTGGACCTATGAAGCTGTTCCGATGTTTTTTCACATTTTGTTCTTCACCAACTGCTTTCTTGTTGATCTGGATAACAAAATGAGCATTTTTGTTCTTGGTACTGACTCTGGATTTTTTTATGCCAAGAAGAAAAGCAGGAAGAATGACAAACTTGAGCTGAAGAAATATGATCCAACGTTAAAGCGCCATGCTACGTTCACAGAAATCAAATGAGAAAATAGCGCCTTTGTTTTTCACGTTATGCTCATATGCTGAATCAGGTTCTGACTATCTGGTGCACATATTGTAATAACATCACTGATTCATTGATTCTATTTCTGTACAAGATTCATGACGAATTCTATAATGAAAAAGAAAACCAAACAGTTATCATCACTCTGTAAAATATTTTAATATAATAATCCGGTGTCTCTGCCCTAGTTCATGCTTATCATGTTTTCTTTTTTTTTCTTCCTCCTTAACAGAAAGATCATTAAAAAAAATAAAATGTTCCAGGGTGTATATATAACCATTCCAAATCTACAATATTCTAAATGTGATTACAGGCAGTTCCAACAAATCACAAGCTGCCAATCTGAACTACAAAGTTGAAAGAAACATTGTCTAACTCTATTCCAAGGTCTCAAACATTAGTTGTCTCCCCTTGGATTCCTTCTTGTTTTATTGATCTCTCCTTTAACTGAATGTTCATGGAATTCACTAGTTTCTCAGTCCTGGGCTCTGGCACCATTCCCTTGGATGTCAACTCCCTGAAATAACGCATAGCATCCTTTGTTCTCCCTTTTTCATAGTGCCCATGAATCATGATCGTATATGCCCTCTGGTCTGGTCCCCATCCTTTCCTCTCCATTTCTTCCCATGTTTTTCTTAATCCATCTTGGTTATCCCAATCCATGTACAACCTTAAGACCAAGTTGTAAACATCACCATTCATGCTGCACCCATTTCTCTCCATCCTCTCCAAAACACTGGGAACTTCCTCTGGCTCCTTCAAGGACCTGAGCAAGTAATTGAAAGTAATAGCATTAGGCAAACAATTCCCATTCCTCCATTCCATATCATCTACTAGTTCATAGACCTTCTCCATTCGCCGTATCTTGCACAGGTGCTTAATCAATGAATTGTAAGTAGCCACATTGGGTTGACAACCTCGCTCATTCATGTCCCCGAAAACCTCCAACGCCTCAGGAATCCTCTTCTTGAAACAAAGAGCATCAATGATGCAATTGCATATCACAACATCAGGTTTACAACCCTTATCCCACATGCCACGGAACAACCTTAATGCAGTGCCTAATTTCCCTTTCTTGGTCAATGCCTTGATGAAAGTTGCATAGGTAAAAAGATCTGGCTTGCATTCAGATGCCACTATGTCTTTCCACAACCTCTTTGCCTCATGCACGTTCCCCAAAACACACCAACCATTGAGAATCACATTCCATGTCTTTATATCAGGACGAAACTCACTCACCTTACTCTGAAACAAAGCTTCTGCATCTTCCACATGCTTGTATCTACACAGCCACATCAAGAGGGTGCGAAAAGCTTCAGCATCAAGCTCCAACTCAAACTCTTTCCTCTTGTAGAACATGTCAATTGCTTCCTCCACTTTATGTGCAGCCACATACCTACGAAGCAAAGTCCCGAATATCACTTCGTCAATGAGTGCCTTTCTCTCTGACATTTCGTCGAGCACTTGGTGTAACTCCTCAAAGCGCTTCATCTTCCCCAGAATATCGAGAATCTCGTTGCAAACGTGAGAATTGGGTGCATAACCATTTGATTTAGAGGCCCAGTTGAAGAACACGAATGCGGGTCTCCAATCAGAACGGTGTCTTCGTAGCACGTCGAGAACAAGATCATCGTTCAGCTCGAACCCGCAGAGGTCAAGAGCTCGCTCCACTTGCTCGGTGGGCTTGTCCCTTCGGAACTTTAGCAGGTTCTGCACGAAAATAGCCGGTGGCTCTGAGCGTGAATGCAAGAACCTAGTTGTTACGATGATTCCGAGGAAACCAAGGTGGGACCCTGGGGTTGAGGTTTCAGAAATTCGGTGAATGTTGAACAAGGTTTCAAATATCCGTTGGCTGTTTTCCCGGGAAAGTGTCCTCATCGCTCGAATGTTGTACGCCATGTGTTGTTTTGATAGGTTGAACGAACGATTTATAGATGGATACGGACCTGTTCATTGGAAAACCTTTCTTATTTATGGAAAAAATGTGTATTGTGTTATTTTAAGTGAGAGAAAGAGATAGATAAAGAAGGAAAAAGTAGACAAAAATATATAAAGGTGTGGGTCCCACCTCTTCGTGAGAGTAAAAGAATATAAGTTGTGTCATTTAAAAGGATAAACATTTTTCTCCTTATTTATACCATAGAATGTGAAAGTCTGAACCTATAATATACAGCCACTTCCATATATATATACAGAGAGTATCCTCTGTCTTATATGTTGTTCAAAATAATAATATTAGAAGAGTGTTATATTTACAATCTATTTTTATTTATTATTTTTTATAATCATATTTTAATTGTTGATTTTTGTCAATTAATAATTATTGTTTATTGTGAAATAATAATTAATGAATGAATTTGATTAACAAAAATAATAACTGTTGAATGACGGAAATCAACGATTAAAATACTATTGTAAGAGGTTGTAAATGAAAATAGGTTATAAGTATAATCATTTTTATAATATTATGTAAGAAAATTATATTTATACAAGGGTGAATCAATACTAATAAGGGAAGAGAGAAAAAAATATTAGAATAAGAAGTTATAAAATTATCACCATTAATTTATTCATTAATAATTAGTTAAGATCATCGTGTAACATGATTATGTTAAATAATATATGAAAGGCTGTGTATTCATATACAAAGATTCCTATAACTAACACAAATGTTACAATCGAAAAGATAACTACCCAATTACTATATAAGACAAGCCACTCAATTAACTATTAAACATGATTACATGACTAAGAGTACGGTCATTATTTACATGAGTGAGGTTCTCCTCTTTGTCTAATTTTGCATTAATATCTTTTGTACATGTTTCTGAGTTTAACAACTCATTACCGAGTTGTATTACCCCTCGCAAATTGGGGCATGAATATACCCAATAGACCAAGCTTAGAAATATTCAAAACGAAGGCTATAGTAGATAGGCGCTTCATAAAGACGCCAGCAAGTTGATCAAATGAAGAAACCGACAGAAGACGGATGAGACTTTATTGGATTTTCTCGTGTCGTGTGTGAGGTGGCTTTCTATTTCAATGTGTATGAAGTGTTCATGAAACATTGGATTGTGAGTGAGGTAGATGGCATATCGATTGTCACAAAAGATGGAAGAAGGCTTGTCACGTGAGACTAGCAAGTTTTGAAGGAGAAATCGGAGCTATTGTACCTCACATGTTAAGGAAGCTAAAGCCTGATATTCTAGCTTCACAAGATGACTGAGAAATAGTCCTTTGTTTCCTGGAATGCCATGAAACTAAGCTAGAACCAAGGAACATGCGTTAACCGTTTGTTGAACGTCTTGTATTCTGGCAACATGCCTAATCAGAATATGTTGGGTTTGCTCTTTTACTAAAGCCCAAATGGGTTATTAGTATGAGAAGAGCCCAAGGAACCTAGAGAGCACAATGAGCTAAGGTTTCTTGGAACCCATATAAATAGTACCTCTTAAGTCATCAGCCTAATAGGTCTTTTTTGTGAGAAAGAGGCAAGCTCAGAATCTAATCAGTGCCCACACACTTCCCCTTCCTCCTCGAGAGATAGTTTGGAAGATCTGCCACAGTCCAGCTTCAAGGAGGTTGTTCGTGCTGCGGCGCTAAGGTGAGCTGTTCATGAAGAGGAATCCTACAAGGGAAGATTCTACACGAGACCTGCGCACCGAGAGGTAATTGTGAAACAAGGATGATTCGGTAAGCATACCAATGTACTAGGTCCTAAACCGCTTCCGCATAAATCTAAGATTTCCAACAGAATCTACGAAGCCACATAAGGATAATGTGTTCATGGCAGGGGAAAAAAGTCATTTGGTAAAGGGTCTCCATAGTCCTTTTTCACTTTGGTGGATGGATCCACAGGTGTTAGTGAAGGTTTGGTTGTAAGTATACCACTGTCAACAAGGAGTTCCATGGTATATTTTCTCTGGTTGAGAACGATTCCTGTCTTGGATCGTGAAACCTCAAGGCCAAGAAAGAACTTGAGATGTCTTAGATCATTTATCATAAATTGCTGATCTAGAAAGTATTACAAAGGAGGATGAAGCATTACAAATGAACACGGAGTGATCAATAGAAGAGTGAATGTAACCAAGGATGGTGAGAGCGTGGGAGAGTTTAGCATAGCATATCATTGGCGACTTGCTTGGCGTAATCCATAGAGACTTTTGTAATTTGCAAATTTTCCCTGGTGCAATGTTTTGGAGGCCTTCTAGAGGATCCATAGGCACTTCTTCATGGAGATCAACATGAAGAAATGTGTTATTGACGTCAAATTGTTTAAGGTACCAGTTCCTAACTGCGACAACTGACAAGAGCACCCGTATGATGATTAGCTTGGCGGCAGGGGATAATGTTTCCAACAAGTCTGCTCCCTCCAACTGTGTATAACCTTTAGCAACCAAACAAACTTTACATCTCTCAATAGAACCATATGATTAATGCTTGATTTCATAGACCCACTTGGATCCAATTAAATTCTTTTATGGTGGTAAATCCACAAGGGTCCATGTATTGTTTAGTTCAAGAGCAGATATCTCATCTTGCATCACTTTTTGCTAGCAAGGATGTTTGGAAGCTTGAGCAAATGATTGGGGTTTTGTTTCAGAGCCTATACTAAGGAAGGAGTGGGAATAATCAAGAGAATAAGCATTGTATGATTAAAAAAATATGTAATGAATTGAAAAACAAGCGTTAGATGATTTACCTATGATGGATTTGTCAGTTGTGGTAGCAACCAGATTGCAATGAAAATCATCCAAATATGAAGATTGTTTTCTAGTCATAGTAGAACATATGAGTTGAGGTTGAGGTTGAGGTGATATAATTGGATTGGTGTTATGGGCACTATCCATATTTTATGGTGAGACAAAAATTGTGGGAGTGATATGGGATATGGTTGGTGCAATAGTGACAATATGACGGAAATGATCATTATTAAATATAGATAATGGAATGGAATGCAAGGTGACCTTGAGTTAGTTATATACAGGGAATGTAGCATGGTAGAGTCATCCAGAATCTGAGAATATTGTTAGAATTGGAACCTTGGGAGAGAGTGAGGCCTCTTCAATTGTCTCACAACTATCCTTACTTTTCTGCATTGTTATTTTCCTTTCCAAGATCTGTGTATTTTTCCTTATTTCTTAATTGTCTCTGCTTAATTGTCACCGGATTGTAATCGTTCCTTGATGAATATACGAAAATCTGATTATTCAGGCCAATATTTCCTTGTTAATTGTGGTGAAATATGTATTTGACTTATTGGTCCATATCAAATTGGTATAAAAATGGAGAATGAAGAAAATGGGCCAATTTGTTGCCAGGCCTAAATATCAAAATTCCAAAAACCCAAACTCTCAGACTTTCTACCTTTATTTTTAAGGGAAATTATGGAAATTTGTTGTTTCTGGGAAGGCACACAAGAGAGATGGAGAAGAGTGTTAGGTCAAAAGTAGGGCTAGCTCAGTACATAGTTCCGGCCCAAATTATCTCAGCCCATCTTAAAGTAAATGGTAACCTTGCTTTATATGGAAATTGGGCTTGTAAGCCCATGCATATATCTGGACCAAGCATTGAAAAAAGGGTTAAAGGGCGACACAAAAACATCTCCAAGGAGGACGACATTGTTCATCACCAGCATATGTCTGCCGTTGGGAGCTTCAATGACAACAGAAGCAAGAGTGGACGTGAGTTTGGAAAAATGGTGGGTCGATACTCATTTTAGTCCCTAGCAAATAAAAAGACCTATCGTGATTCCTAAACAACTCAAAATAGACCCATTTAATTGAAATTGTGATCCCTGACAAATTCAAAAAAGACTCATATTAGTCTTAAAAGGACTAAATGTCCGTTTTGAATTTCTTAAGGACTACGATAGATCTTTTTATTTACTAGGGACTAAAGCGGACATCGTGAATTTGCTGAGGACCAAAAATGATATTTATTCTTGGATTTAATAATTACATGTAGCCACATGACTAAAAGTATATTTATCATTTACATGAGTTAAGTTCTCCTCTTTGGCTGTCTTTGCATGAATATCTTTCGTACGTGTTTATGAGTTTAACAATTCATTTCTAAGTTGTATTACTGTTTGTTACAGTGTGTTAGAATCCTAATGTTGATCATGGCCTAATTAGATAATAAATATGATGTATAGTAGATAATTAAAATGTAATTTGATACAATAAAATTATTCTTGATGAATTAAATACAAGAAGAAAACATGTTATTTTAATGTTGGGTAATAGTTTTCTCATGTAGTAGGAGATACTAATTATCTCTTACTGACTCATTTGTATAAGTGAGATTCACTTTCAAGGGAAGAAAAAAAAATAAAGTGAGACCCATATTGAATTTGTGTGTGTAGGAGATAAGTTTTTTCTTAAGAATAATAAATTCCTTTAACGTTAAGATGATCCATTTCATTTTTTGTTATCTTTGGCAACAAGAAGAAAAAAAGAAAAGAAAAGGAGAGAGGGCTGCTGGAAGGTTGAGGAAGGAAGAATGGGTGCTTTGTGATTTGTTATTTAAGTGCTTACACATATGTTGTAAAAACATGTTGTTATCAAAAAAAAAAAAAAAACATGTAACGAATGATTAATTAGTATATATTTATTTGATTAATAAAAGGTAGAATCGTGTGAATGTATAATAACGGAGGACACACAATTTATAACAAAATGATTTCGTACATTGAATGTGACTAACTAAAAGACAAATTACAATAATTACATGACAATAATCTAGTTCCTAATTGTTTCAAAAATAGAAAATATGCTATAGCCACGCGCCCACACCTATACGATCGTTCTCTCGATAATCTAGCAGTTATGTCTAAGTGGGTGATATATAAGCCAAGTTAAATATCATTATCGTCTTAATTTCGGAGGTTCATT